ATCAATACTGCTTGCCTTTCTCAAGGGGTAGGGGTAGACAAAAAGAAGAGAATTTGGAACTCAAATTTTTAAAAAATGAATGTTAAAAATAAATTAATTAAAAATTTTAAAAAATATTTTATAACCTCCCCACAAAAAAACACAGTGACTCTCAAAACACCACAGATCATACAAGGTCAGATTAGTGCAGACTACAATTAAACTGTCCACTCTGTTCTCAGGGACTGTGGCACACTTTATGTAGCCAAATATTGAGCTATTGACTCTCCTTTGCATACCTCTCATTTCTTTTCCCAATTTTTTTTATACTTCTCTTATTTGACTTTTAAAATCCTTCTTAAGCTCTTCTAAGAAGGCTTTTTGGGCTTGAGACCAGTTCATATTCCCCTTTGAGGGTATGCTGGACATGGGTATTTGACAATGGCTGCTGCCTGATAAGTCTAACTCCGGAGCACCCAGAGCCCACTAAAGTCCTCAGATCTTTTTCAAAACTGCTATTTAATTATGTTGCTGGGGCCTGGAACTAAAGACCTCCTTTAGTGTTAACCTTTATCGAACCTTTAATGACTAAACTATTCTTGGAATCTGCCCACCTAAATCAAAGAATTCATCAGATTATATTGTCTAATCAATATCTCTCCACCTTCATTCTCAACCAGAATCAGATGAGACACTTGAGGAAAAGCTTTGATGAAATCGGGCAACAAATCTCTGGTGGGGTCCGCCTGAGGCTATAATCCCATCAACTGGCCTTTGGTTATCACCTATATCCAATGTCATTCTGTTACTCTTACCCTAGCCTAGCCCTCCATAGCTTTACCTCTCTATGGCCCCCAGCCACTCTCCACCCTTAATCCTAGCTAGGTTCCATTCTCCCTTGGCCATGTGGTCCAGGTACCTGGCATTCCATTACCTCACAGTCCTGTCACCTCCACCCCATCCTACTACTTAGTAAGTGGACTACTTAGCCACCCCCATATCTCTCCCACACTGTTTCTATATATATAAGGTCCATCTTGTCTCCATTAGGGTGCCCAGATTCTTAAATTCTAGCCACTGCTCAGGTTCTTATAATCTAGCCAGTATTGTTCAGATTCCTTAAGAGTCTGGCCAATATGGTGGGTGTTTTAATAAAACTTGTCTTTGGCTGAAAAAATAAAACAACAAAAATAAAAATAAAATAAAATCTGGGCAACTACAGCATTCTCTTTATTTGCTAATTTAATGATTCAGACAAAAAAGGAAATGAAGCTATAGAATGGTACAACCTGTACTTTGTAATCATTGCTTCTTTTTCTAGTCTTAGCCAAAGATTTCTTTAAAGCTCCCTTCTAGAATTTTTCTTGGAACCAAAATCAGTGTTCTGAGCTTAATCTGTAGCAGTTCTGCATCTGCCTTATCTAATCTTGTACTTCTCTTGTTTTCCTGGATTCCACCAATAACCACGTGGGAGAAGCACTACATTATTACAATTTTCTTTTTATAGCTACAGTATTACAATTTTCCAGACAAGGAGACAGGTTAATCCAAATTTAATCAAGGAGATGTTCGTCCAAATGACTCACGGCTAGCAAAGGTCAGAGGTTGTCTGAACTACAAGCCTAGCACTTTATTCACTCCGGCAAGCTAATAATGATGTAAGAGAGTAATGAAACCAAACTTACAACAGGTTATTAATACACATTGTACCTCATATATGACCTTAACTGGTTTTGGACAACTTTTTTCCTTTAACAAGTCAAAAGTCAGTCTTAGATGGAAATGTTCAATGACCCTTTAAAATTATCAAAGGCTCTAATAATAAAATTTGCTATAAGTAACTTTATACTCCTGACTCTGAAATAAATAACCTTTCCTCACTGTTTAAAAAAGTATAACTTTCATAAATTCCATAGAGCCACTCAAAAGTTGCTTTCAAAGATACTAACTAACATACTATTAGCTGATTAAGTCTGGTGTAATGGTGGCACAGTAGTACCAGACCTGGGGTCAAGAAGACTCAACTTCCTGAGTTCAAATACGGCCTCTAAGTAAGGAGGCCAACTATGTGGTCGAAGAAGGAGAGAATGAAGTATTAGGAGTCTAAGGACTATACTAATAAGCATACATATATATACAAGGCAGTGCTGGGCCTGGAGTCAGGAGGACCAGAGTTCAAATTTGGCCTCAGACACTTACTAGCTGTGTGACCCTAGACATGTCAATGAACCCTGTTTGCCTCAGTTCCTCATCTCTAAAATGAGGTGGAAAAGGAAACCATTCCTGTATCTTTGCCAAGAAAACCCCAAATGGAGTTTCAAAGAGTCAGATGAGACTGAAACAAATGAACAACAACAATGAAAATATCACTAGATCTGGAGTGGAGTTCTGGGTTCAAATTCCAGCTCTGACAGTTATTAGCTATGTAAACCAATACACAGGGCACTATCTGTTAAAATATCTATTAAAATAACTACTTGTACTATCTACTTCACAGTTATTGTGAAGAAAATTTTTACTAGACTTAAAGCTCTATATAAACATGACTTACCATTATCTCCTCAGTGAACTGTGTATATTTCTTCTAATAATATCACTAACACCTCAAGTAGCTTGGTTAGAGAACTGGGCTTGGAATCTGAAAGACCTGGATTTAAATTCTCCTCCAATACTGACCAGTCATCTGACCAAGGCATGTCCCTGAGGCAACTCCCTAGGTTTTAGTAGCAACAGTTGAGTTCCCAGCACTAAAGAAGTAACATATCCTTCAGTTATCTGCAAAAAGCAAATTAAGTAATTATGAAATGCTATTCCCAAATGAGGCATTTTTCTAGTAATCTTTCCTTGATCTGCCAAAACAAAAAATTTTATTCCCAAAGATATACAATTTAGCTCATGCAATCACTTGAGCAGACAAAATGTTCTAATAATAAAAGTCAAGACTGATACAATTTTCGCCAAGAATTAAATCAAAATTCAAGAAAAGTTTTAGAAAATTGTCCCAATAGTTAAACCCAAATATTTCAATCATAAACACTGACAGGTCAAAAATACTTCTCTAAGCACAAAATGTGTGAGGAATTCAAGACAAGCATATTCTGAAACTAGAATTTATCATTCAGCCCAGTCAACTCAAAGGAATCCTTGCCTCCAAGAATGTAACCATTTTGTAAGGATAGGCAGTGTATACCTCCATAGGAGGGAGCCACAGAATAATCTGGGTTTCAAGAAAGGTCCTAGGTGCTGACGGGATCAGGAAAGGTTTCACACAGAAAGCAAGAAGAACTGGAGCTGAGCTTTGAAGGAAAGATTTGTACAAACTGAAGCAGAGTGAGCAGGTCGAGGAGCACAACACATACTGAAGGAGTGAAATGCTGATCCACACAGGGACCAACCATGACTCCAGAAGGGTGCTGGGTGCTGGTAGTGTGCATGCTACCCCCCCTCCGGAGACAGAGTCAACAGGACTCCTGCACTTTGGGACGTGATTAACTCAGGACTTTGTTTTGCTTGACTATGTATATTTGATACAAGGGTTTTGAGTTTCTCTTCTTAATGGGGGAGGGGAGGAGGACGAGAAAGAAATGCTTTGCTAATTAAAAACACTATATACCTTTTACCACACACACACACACACACACACACACACACACACACACACACACACACACAC